TGAGAGAACTTTGTACTCCACGGAACTCTGTTTGTCGTTTTCCAGCGAATCAATCGTCGTTGCTCAAACAAAAGATCGGATATTAGTCTGACTATGTGAGATAGTCGTGTTGCTGCAGACTTATGTTGATATCGGGTGATGACTAAAGGTGAAATGAAAACTTTAGCTGCGGTAGAATCCAAGCCACCAGCCACCAAGTTTACCTAACCGGTGCTCTACCAAGTGAGCTATAGCGCCTGACAGATGACAACATTTTTTTATAGTTTACTTCAATCAGTTATCTGCTTTTTCCATCTGTATGTTTATTTACAAGTTCAGCTGCTCCTATGGAGAAAGCTGTATGGGGAGTACTACCAGGGAACCTAACAGATGCGCTGCTGAGCATTTATCTTCATGGTTTGGAAAGGGATAGATAAAACTCATTAGAAGCTCTGTTTCATCTCATCTGGTTGATAGTGGTCACTTGCTGAACAAGGACAATTCTATCAAGACTGTCTACCACATACCATCTAATCATTCGAAAGGTATTCGAACTCTTCTTTTACACATAGCAGAAGCTGTGAGAATTCGTGCTAGTAATCCTAGTCCTTGTATCCAGATGAACTTTGCACATCTCTTATCTCTACCTTGACCAGTGAATAATTGGCATTTTTCTGTCCGTTTCTTATCCTTCACCTCTTTCATATACTTTCTACATTTGTTTATTCACCTACTTCATCCTTTAGCATTAAGCAACTTTTATTTTTCCAAGCTTTTGACCTACTGTGATTATCAGAGTGTCTAGATTATCATGCTGTTCTCTCGGTTCTTGTCATCATTATCATCCTTATTGCAACTACTTTGATCAGTACTATCACTATGACTGTCAACGTTATTATTCTACGAACTGGCATCACCCTCTTTATTTTACAGCACTTATCATAGATCAACAAATCTATTTCAAGCTAGTATTTATCACGGACTAACATCAGTTGGAGAACCATTGGAAACCTTGAAGCACTCCTCAGTAGTATAGAGTCATATACTGGGACGAAACAGTTTTCCAGTGCTCCCAAATTTTCAATGGTTTTCCAAATGATATAAGTTCGTGATGAATACTACCTTAAACATAAAATCTTCATTAACCTCATTAGATTCATTATAATAAAGTGATTATACCAGTTAATGAGGTTTCTTCATTAACACCCTTCCTGGTACACATTTCCCAGTGTGTCAGTAACCGTAAACAGCACAACACAGACACATTGCATGCTGTTAATTGACTCTGTCTGTGCATAAATAAATAAATTATATATATATATATATATATATATATATATATATATATATATATATATATATATATATATATATGCGGTGTTGGCGTGAAGACAATCTGATGGACCGATGTTATCATGATTATGATTATTACTCGCTGTAGTAGTAGTAGTAGTACCAATGCCATGATTGGGTTCAACCTGAGACCGAACGTTCTGATGTCGAAAGACGTGAAGGTTGCCTACTCGCCACTTCTTTGCCATACAAAGAAAAGATTTTGTGTACCGTATTTCGATATTAGAGATTTTTATGGTGTGGCGCACACACACGAAAACAACAGCCTACGAATACCAGAATTATATATCTATGTATATATTACCTAAGGCAGAGAGTCGGCAGAAAGTAAAACCAGTACAGTGATTAGAGGATGGTTTCCACTGGCTTGTTCAACACACTTATTTGTCTTAAGTCAAATCAGGTATAGAATTCTACAGGGAATTGCAAGACCAAAATCAAACATAAAACCTTCTAGTCAAAAGACTGAATGTGTCTCGAGTACGATAATTTATCAGCAAATATTGTTGAGTAATACGATTAAAAACCTCGAATAGTGAGTTATCTCAATTCTTAATGCACCTTCAAAATCACTGTCCAAGAAGTAAGTCAATAAACGAAATAAACGGTGAAAGGCTGCATCAGGGTCAAACCATAGTTGTGGACGTTTAGAAAAACCGGAAACGATATGATATCTTAGTCAAACTAGGGAGAGTGAAATATAATCAGAGAATGGAAAAAGGTCAATACACTGAAATGTAAATTTACTTAGCGAAACGCCCCATGGTAAAACGTACTCTTGGAGAATCAGGCAACAAATTGAGATACACATGTGATGCTACTTATTATCAGTAAGTAGTATGTTTTTGGGCACGAAAACATGGCAAACTTGTAAAGCAGGAGGAAAATAAGGTTGAGCATGAGGAAATTGAACAAGTGTGAGAGATTTCAAGAGTATTTCATATTTTGACGAACTGGAAAGTCTTTCCCTTCAGTTTTCTTCAAGGCTTTTAGAGAATTTCACGCTCTTTCAGCCTAATACAGTGCATCAATTACGAATACACATCAAAATCATTTGATCCGTTTAGGTTGACAATCTTGCATCTTCATTGTACCTTACATGCAGCATTCAGTGTTTTCTGGATTTCATCACTGTAACTGCAATGAACTCTCTCTTTTCCTTTTACAAAGCTGATTATGTTTAATAAAATGACAGGATATCGACTTGTTTACATATCAATAACGCATTTTTCTTTTATCTAACGGTATCACGAAACTATCAATCAGTATTCTCTTTTTATTGCTAAAAAAATCCTTCACTTTCGCTTTTCCGTTATACGCCTCCTTATCGGAAAAGATTGACAGTTCCTCAAGTTGATTTATTCATGTAATCTAATCTTGGTGTAAGTTCAAAGTGTTTATACTTCAAAAGTCGATACTGATTTCTTATTATTTCCAATAAGGCTATTTGAAATTGGAGTATTAAGTGGTTGAAGATGAAAGACAACAAGTTCCGAGCCCGGGTTTCGTGCTTGTTTGCCTTCATCAGCAAGGCTAATTTGCAGCCACTAAAAAGTTGATTTTCACAGATATGCCCTTCTGACCAGTGGTAGCAAGTACCATATTTAAGTTGCAGGTTTCTTGTTGATTGTATTTAACCATCCAACATTCATTAAAATTCACTGTAGTGATGAGTCTCTTAGCTCAGTGATGAAATTGCAAAATCATGACTTCTTTTCCATGACAGACTCCGAAATCTGCGGTTTCTGCACCTTTCTCAAGGTTTACTGAACCATGAACTGACACCAGTTGAAGGAGCATTGGAAGTCTGGAAGCACTGGACAGCTGCTTCGTCCTAGTACAGGACTCCTCAGCAGTGCGGACCCACAACCTCCCATCCGCCCGATGTCAAACCCAGGACCTTCAGGTTCCGTGGCTAGCACATCACCATTGAGCCACTGGGTTGGAATGCACTGGCCCATATTTCCTACTTCTGTCAGTTCACAAGATACCGCGACCTCCACCCCTTTCCGTCATTGAGTAACTGTCCCCATGTTCGACTTGCTTGACTCCACTGTTCACGACTTTTCATTGGAACTTCGGGAATTTTCTCTCGAAGCTAGTCACCATGATAAATTCCAACCTAAAATCAACTAATAAATATTTACAAACCTCGGATTTGTTTCCCACAGTTTTTACTCTCTTTAATATTATTAATTATTTCACTAAAGACATGTGGATAGTTTTCCATAGTTCGCATTGCACCTAAGTACATGAAGATTCTCACTTTTAAAATTTCGAATATTTGTCATACATTCATGTGTGTGTGTGTGCTTATCACTAGTTCTTGAGTTCTTGAAGATGATCTCAGTTGGGGGGGGGGATGAGGGGTGAGGGTGGCGAGTAGAATAGACATTCAATGCTTTCTAGTCTTCGATAATTCTCTAGTTGGTATCACTTAATCATATATGATGAACCATCCTGGAATTGATTTAAAAATTGATTTTCCCCACTTCAAATCGATTCTAACCAAATAATTATCGAAGAGTGTAAATATTTTCAATAGGCATATCTGACTGGCTTTAGATACTTAGCCTTGTCATAGTGTCGATACTACTGACATAATAACAGTCATGCAAAATAGCCTTTTTTCAATAATAAGAGCTAGTCAGCTACTTGATTACCGTCAAATTTACTCCTGATTGGCTGTTAATTATTGATATTATTCTAAAGATAATCGATTATTTGAGTTGTTTTACAAGCATTTGATCAGATTGAGAGTAGATTTGATCACTCACAAGACCAATAAAAATGAAAAACCTCCGGGTAGTTACTTAACCTGTGCTTTTCCTTCACTCTTTATAGTCTCACATCTTTATCTCTTTTAAAGAGTCAATCCCGGAACATACACGGTAGTTGCAGCTGAGTGGTAATACCACTGGTCATAATCATTCGTGGGGGGGGGGGGGAGGGGGAAAGCATCTTTATGCATAACAGTTTAAACTACATCTTTTTTCAACATTAGTAACAGTTCTATCTGATTAAGATATGTAGTATTACGCTTACGCTTACCTCATAATTTTGGGTATTGGGGTAAGTGATAGCTTGTATCCTATAGGACAGTTTCGATTTCATTCTGATAAAAACTTGTTGCTCATCAATAGATTTCATTCAAGTTTTATCAATCGATCTTCAATAGGCTAGAATTTAATCAGGTTGAATGAATTTGATGCTCGATTTCCTTAATCTGACGGCTTCTAGCTTGAATCTGCTTGTAAGAGCAGATTACTGTTTGATGAAGAAAATTACTGAATTACTTACAAGTCAGTTGGTCATTTGCTTTTGTATGTCACATTAGTCAACAGAAATTGATATACACTAACCATGATAATGTCGCTGATTACAACATTGGGTGATGCGGGTTGAAATCTTACAGGGGGCATTAGTGCCCTTCAAGTTGCATACACACCTTACTGACAAGCTCCAACAAGCATGAAACCTAGATTAAGTAGGGTATCCTGTCGATTACCTCTAACCAACTAACTTACCGTAACTTACTGAACACTAGTCGTTGTTTCTTTAAGCTGGATTGGTAAAACTAGGTGTGTACTACAAAAGTATTATATTTTATCTATTAACCCGATGATCAACTTATATGTGTATGGTCTTGTTTTCCTTGATATAACCAGACGTGTATTGGACCACCTAAAGAATCGGTTGTACAGTATGTCGCTAATACGTATTCACGTTTGGAGAACACTTATGCAGTGAATCAAAAGGTGAATTATCTTGTCTCTATATTTAGCTATATTCGGAAAAATGTAAGTTACATATGTCTTTTTGCTTACCTTCCTTATATGAGCATTGATTGAGCATACTGTATCCACCTATTTGTTTGTTTTCTCTGAGGAAAGACAAAGAGAATAACTCTCATTGACAAAAACACTTTATTATCTATACTAGTAGAGAAGACTTGTCGTTCAAGATGACGATGTTATCCGAACTGGTGAATTCACCTAGCTTCTCGACAAAACATTCATTATCAAAGTCCATTTCCATTTTGGTGTCTTCTGCTGTGATTCGAAGTAATAGGTATATATATTCACCATCAACGGGAGAAACCTAAAGGAAGTTATCTCTTACACCTACCACTAAGGTAAGGCAGCATCGTTCCAACTACAGGCGTAACAGGCACAGACAAGGACATCAAAGCCAGGATCAGAAAGACAGCAAAACACGTCTTCATTATTCTAAAACCAGTGTGGAGATCTACTGCACTCAGTATAAAGCGTCAACGAGATCCGGATTTTCAACACTAACATAAAGTCAGTGCTTCTATGCGAGCGATGATTGAGAGACTTGGCACGTCACGAAAGGCATTTCCAACAAACTACAGACATGCATCACATCAACAGCTGCGCCTACGCTCACTCGATACTGAAGATAGAGATCAGATGACCAGAATAATGAGAGTAATCAACAAGCAACTCTGGCTGACCCTGCAACGAACCATCGAAGCAAGAACCCATCGCCCAACAAATATGCAGGAGAAGGAAGTGGAGATGGATTCGACTGGGCATACACTGGAAGACCGATTGGGGATATTACGCGCCAGGTCGTCGAGTGGAATCCGAAGGGGAAACGATAACTTGGGCGTCCTTGGCAAGAGTGACATGGAGGAGATCGTGTGAAGAAGAAATGTAAGGTTATGGACAATCGTGTTGCCAGGTTTGAAAAGACTGCATAGAACAGAGTGTAATGGAGACATGCTATTGAAGCCCTATGTTCCACTTGAAACGTAAAGGATAAATTATATACATGAAAGCTTTTTAGTTTTTGACAGTAAGGAATAAAAATGTTTCATCCACATCTCTAGAGGAGTTGGATCCTCTGACGGTCGATTTGAACCGACGTAATTCAGCATTTTACTGCAAAAGAGTTGACTAACAGATCCGACTGATCATATTTAGCCAGCAATAGACCTAGGCTTCTGTACACTAACCGTTTAGTTTAAAAGTAGTAAGGGTTTCGACCAACTGAAATTATAAGCGGTATGCGTCTATTCGATGGCATGTTTCAAGAACACTTTGATACGACCTAAAACTGTAAAATTTCAACGGAATAAGAATAAATCAGAGTGCAGAATGCGCTGGATAGTCATTTATTCTGCACAAGAGCCAAAGGAAATTACAAAGGACATGTCTAGCCGAAAATTTTTCATTGTTCTCCTCAACACTGCCTGCTCATAAGAAAAAACCTCACTAGGGTACAGGAAGCTGTCTATCAAATGAATCATCACATGACAGTTGACGCTGGGATTGACACCATTATTTATAAACTTACATACAGTATGTTATGAAAACTTCTAATCTAGTTTTGGTCACTTTTTCAAGTCATTTCATCATTACAGTCCTTGTAGACGTATTCCTGCAGGAGGTTACACTAACATTTCAAACATTTCCATTTGCAAGAACGAATCATTGAACCCCTCAAAGTGTTGTACTAGCAGAAATCTAGCACGATCGAGAGGTAGGCGCAAAATCCCCCTCATGTAGATTAAACAATGCAGTGGTTTTTGTGGATTAATTTCACTTGATTAGTTGAGATAAAGACTGAAAACTGACATAATCAGCCTACAACTTCCACACAGATACATCAACTCAAGTACCCACACTTCACAGTAGTACACATGGAACAGGTGGACAGAAAGGGAGGTATATCAAAACAGACAAAGTTGTTTAAGAGAATAAACAATCAAAAGATTACGGCTAATGCAGATATTAAAGCTTTAGAAGATGTCAAGGAGTGAATGCATCTGCGCCATTGCGACCGATTTTCAGCCATGTCACCAAGAGTCCACAACCACTGATTCCTATGGTATCGTGAACCCCAGCCAGCCAAGTAGTCTAACTCTCCCCAGACGGCTCAGGTCAGCAGTAGGAGACTTCATCTACGAGCTGCAGGTCTTTGCCTGGTCATCCTGAACACTCTCCTAACCTAACTCAACTTCCCCTAGCATGTCACGTCGAGGTAGGTGATGAACCGCTCGGCATGCGCAGTACATGTCCAAGCCATCTTATTCGATGAAGGTCCTCAACCTCATTAATCGACTGGCTTGTTTTGTCTAGTACCCTTTGTCTGACCTCAACACTACTCATACGATGGTTTCACCTAATGCGAGCAGTGCTACGAAGACACTCGCGATCGAAAGCCTGTAAACACTTCGTGTCTCCTTCACTTAATGGCTATATCTCACAGCTGAACAACAGGATAGAACGGACTTCAGGGTCGTATACCCGTTCCTTGTTTGATAGTCGGCTATCTCGCCAGCTGGCGCTACAGGTGATTCAAGTTGGCAAATGTCAGACAGGCCTTTTGTATAAGAGCTGAGATTTTGTCAACAACTAGCCCCTTTGGGTTAATACAAGTCCCCAAGTAGGTGAAGTTATGGATACATTCCACCGCTTCCAATCCCCCTATGATTAAACCGGGAGGACTTGCAGTAGACCAGTCCTGGAACATTATCCTAGATTTGACAGGTATCAGCGAAACGTATACCAAACATACTCAGATTTTGCTCAACGCGTTCAGAAGACCCTACATTTTTTCAGCGTCTTCATCTAGCAGAACAATATTGTCTGCGTACTGCAAGTCAACCAGATGACCTCCAGGGAGTAGAGAAGACAAAACAAGAATGCCAAGATTCGCACAAAATGAGCATGATTGCCTATTGAATTTCACAGCTTTCCATCAAGTGCAGACAGTTTAAAATGGTGATATATAGTACAATTGACGAATAAGTGAACAATATACTTCAAGTATTGTATTTGAAGGTAAAACCAATGAAATGCAATGAGAAATGTATATTCAGACATATTGGTAGTGTAGAGAAATACTGAGACGAAAAAGTGAGCTTATTTGTGAGGAATGATGCAGAATTCACTGAATAACTTTAATTGATGGAGAGCAACAGCTGTTCCTGAGCCGGGCAACCCTTTGGAAGGGAGTAACCTGTGGCTTAGGACTGCATGTATTGGTATGTTATATCAGGTGGAAATGAGTCAGTAGTACCTATAATTTCAATGCGTTGTTAGATAGACACGATCTTAAAGGTCAATGTGATTAACTGCATCTAGTTTAGCCATAATGTCTGTAACCCCTTGATGGCACTGATTTTGAAGTGATTTCATTGTACACCTTTGAAATAAAATAGCCAGTTAAGTATCATTGTTTACTTTTAACATAAATCCTTTCAAAATCTTCAGGAGTGTATATCTGTAGCTATTCGGGCTGCCTTCAAAACCATTTTGGAAATAACCACGTTTACTATCTTCAAACTGACATCATTCATCTTCGAAAGTCGAATCAAATCTACTCAATAACCTTGTGCGCTTCTGCACTGTTGGCAAGGTGCCAATAAGGCCAAAACTGTACAGGCCCATGACTCATTGGTTATTTTATGTTCCTAGCAGGTGAATAAAATAAGCCTTTACTGAAACGAATAATATTGCATAAACAAAACTAAAAGACAGTAGCGATTACAATCGTTAATAAGAAACCTTTCACATTTTCATAGTGATGGTAACTGAGTGACTCAGAAAACTTGAGCTACACTAGAATCTTAACTAAAAAGGCCTCTGTTGAGTAAATACTTGTTTATTCTCTTGAAGCAGCATAACATACGTTCATCAGTCATCTAACAAACTTGATGCTTTGAATTACTAACTAATTCATTTCCAGAACGAATTAATTTCTAGATACACTTAAGCCTTCATACCAAAATAATATCTAAACCTTCTGAGTATCTATCAACCGACATATCTGATAGTTCAATTAAAAATTGTTTCGTACAACATGATACATCTGGTGAACATTTTGTAGTATACGCAAACTGCTTTCGTTTCCATGCCAGACATAAAAATACCTGAGTGATTTTAGATTTTTTAAAAACTGTTGTACATCCCATGGTCGGAAATTGGAGGAACATGTTCTTCTATACGTTCAGTAAAACGTTTTCACTCATCTGCTTCTACTTCATCAAGTCCTTGCCATGTTCAATTTTTCAAAGTATATGAAATCATTTTTAAAATGTTTTATGCATACGTGATTCGTTGACTTAACTTTAGGTGGTAGTATTCATGACGGACTGACATCAGTTGAAAGACCATTGAGAAGCTGTATAGTGCGGATTAGTAGGGACATGCTTCCTGATAGATATATTAGAGTACTGGCGAGGACCCGTGACTTGTGGGGTCAACCAATTTGGAAGTGAAGGGGATGCCCACTGAAAACCTTGGTTGATAGTCTTACTATGTCACGAATCGATAGAAGTAGAAGACTGTGAACTATAGAGTCCCTATCCAGTGACTGAATGGTCTACGCATCAGCCGCGAGATCTGAGGACCCCCGTTTCAGTACCCGGAGACGTGATGGGTGCGTACTGCTGAAGATTCCTATTCTAAGACGAAACAGCTATTCAGTGACCCCAGGTTTTCAGTGGGGCTTCAAATGATGTCAGTCCGTTATCTTACGTCGAAATGAAACAAAAATCCTCATAAACGTCAAATTGGTTTCCATCTTTTTCTTTTAAGAATTAAACTTATGCTGTAATTCTAAACTTGAGCTATTTCTTTTGCTTTGTTTAAAAATTGTATTTAATACTTCCTCGTGAAAATAATAACAACTAATCAGATATACAATGTGAAATCTGATCAAGAAGTGGATGCCAGTTCGTTAACTGCTGAAGGTGAGTTAGTCAGTCTTTAAAAATGTATGTTGCAACTCTGAGTGATGGTAGGTACGCTATACATTTATTATATTGGTGATTCATCTGCAAAAATGATATAATATACTACAGTCAGATTCATACCAGAGACCTGAAGCTCTGTCACCTTAGTCAACAATTACAGCGAAATGAATGGATTATCTTCAGTTCCATTCATTTGCTCACTTTTTACAGGGGACTGAAGAGATTCAAGACAGATTGTATCCGGTGACTGAAGAATTATTCAGCCTAGGGTATTCCGATTAATATACTTTTTGACTAAGTGAACTAATTCAACAATTGTAATGATGCGGATTTACCTGTCGTGAGTGACTTACTTAGAAGTTAACTTATGATGATTATTTGTCCCTTGGGTTTCAAGTGGAACATAGGGCTTCAATAGCATGTCTCCATTACACTCTGTTCTATGCAGTCTTTTCAAACCTGGCAACACGATTGTCCATAACCTTACATTTCTTCTTCACACGATCTCCTCCATGTCACTCTTGCCAAGGACGCCCAAGTTGTCGTTTCCCCTTCGGATTCCACTCGACGACCTGGCGCGTAATATCCCCAATCGGTCTTCCCAGTGTATGCCCAGTCGAATCCATCTCCACTTCCTTCTCCTGCATATTTGTTGGGCGATGGGTTCTTGCTTCGATGGTTCGTTGCAGGGTCAGCCAGAGTTGCTTGTTGATTACTCTCATTATTCTGGTCATCTGATCTCTATCTTCAGTATCGAGTGAGCGTAGGCGGCAGCTGTTGATGTGATGCATGTCTGTAGTTTGTTGGAAATGCCTTTCGTGACGTGCCAAGTCTCTCAATCATCGCTCGCATAGAAGCACTGACTTTATGTTAGTGTTGAAAATCCGGATCTCGTTGACGCTTTATACTGAGTGCAGTAGATCTCCACACTGGTTTTAGAATAATGAAGACGTGTTTTGCTGTCTTTCTGATCCTGGCTTTGGTGTCCTTGTCTGTGCCTGTTACGCCTGTAGTTGGAACGATGCTGCCTTACCTTAGTGGTAGGTGTAAGAGATAACTTCCTTTAGGTTTCTCCCGTTAATAGTGATTGGTGCTTGTTGTTGTTCTTGTTGGTTGGGTAACTTCATCACCACTTTCTTCCCTACATTTACTTGAAGTCCCGTCTTCTTTCGCTGCCCCTTTTTGTTAACTTGTTGGTTTTTGCCTGCAGATCTTCGAGATTGTGCGACATCATCATCATCAGCGAAATCCAAATCTTCTAGGATTTTCTCATCCGTTAGGTGTATGCCCCTCTTCTCGCTTTTCATGGTTTGCAGCACTATTCAGTCTACCAAAATCAGGAAGATCATCGGTGATAGTAGGCAGCTTTGTCTTACTCCTGTCTTCACTTCAAAGACATCACTGAGCTGAGGTTCTTACTGTGAATCACTTGGCATCTGGCGTTTTCATATAGCTGTTTTATGAGGTTGAGAAATGTTTGTGGCACTAAAACCGTAGTGTTAAAGCACCTGCCTGCCAAATTACTTCTCGATTGACGCTGTCGAAGGCCTTTTCAAAATCGATGAAGTTGTAGTAGAGAGTTAACTTCCATTCTATGCCCTGTTCAATGATGACGCGAAGCACAGCGTTTCAATTTAATCCGTACATGATTTGTACTTCCTGAATCCTGCCTGTTCCGGTCGTAATTTTGAATCCAGCGTATCTTGTAGTCACTCCAGGATGATGCGGCATAATATTTTGCTTGAGATGAAGAGGAGTTTTTGCAAGGCTGAGGTCTCCCTTCTTTGAGAGTTTGACCAGGTAGCCCTTCTTCGATCGAAAGGTACCTTTCCTTCCTTCCATCAAAACCTTTTGCAATGGAAGTGGTGTGAGCATGTCAACTCATGTGTCTGCGTCTGTTTTCAAGGCTTCTGAAGAAATTCCATCTAGTCCTGATGCTTTCCATATTTCAGCAGCCTCATGGCATTGAGGAATTCACTTGTGCTTTTGTCGGAGCATTTTTGTTCACTGGTAATTCTGTGACTGGGTTGCTGATGGTGTTATTTCTGGATGAGTTGTAGGTGGTGGTCGACTGAAGAGTTTTTGAAGTGGTCAGCCCATCGTTTTCTTTGATTTTCCTCGCTCCCTGCTAGGTTTCCTTCACTATCTTTCATTAGTTTCATATGTGCTGTGTTGATCTCTTGCCTCCCGGGTAGTAACCTGGTTATTCGATCTATTGTTATCAGGTCTCCCCTACCAGAAACCTGTTCTGCTTCACTTGCCGGTGTGTCGTGGAAGTGTCGTTTATCTTTGCATGCATTCTTCTTCACTTTTTTGTCCAGTGTAGTGTTTAATAGGTTGTGTTCAGTTCCCCTTTTCGTTGCTCATCCCTCCACTACACTGCAACGGTTCATCTTCTGCTTCACCGTCTTCCTCTCCTCTCCTCTATCAACTTCCATCGGTCCGTCGACATCCATTCATTGTCTTGTCCTGCTTCTTTGTTCCTCTCTAATACGGTTATGCAGGTTTCTTTCCACATAGCTTTCAAAGAGTTCCAATGTTCTTCCACTCACCATCCTTCAGGGATGTTGCTCAATATCTCCCATTTTGTCCTGATGACTGATTGGTGTGTAGATGTCCTTTGTAGTTTCGTCCTTCAATTTCTGGGTGTTCAACTTCAACTGTGGTCTACACCCAACTTCTTTGAAGGCTTTCAACTTTATTTTGAGGATAGGTTCCATGCACTTGATAGTGAGTGGTGTGAACCCACATCTGCTGTGCTTCTTGATCTTGTGTCAAGTAGGCTGCATCTCCACTTTCTTCACATTGAGATGAAGTCGATCTGATTTTTAGTGTGTCCTGGTGTCTGGCGAAATCAAATCTATGTCACTCTGTGAATATCCTTGTGTTTGTACACACTGCCTCCAGTCAATCACCAAATAGTTGAATGCACAGAAATCTGCAAACAGTTCTCCATTCTCATTCATCATTTCACCAAGTGCTCCTAGACCCACAATGAGTTCTCTTCTTGTGTTGTCTGCTCCCAGTTTGGCATTCATGTCAGCGATTACAATTTTGATGTTGCCATCTGGGGCGAGGTCTTTTCCAGAACTGGTTGCAGTTGTCTGTAGAATTCCTCCTTCTTCTCTTCATCTGCACTATTTGTAGGTGCTTAGCGTAGCATTGAATGATTGTGACTTTCCTTCCTTTTGAGTTGAAGCTTGCTGTTATGATCCTAGATGAAATTGGTTGTCACTGTATGAGAGCCCTTGATGCTGTTAGGGACATTATGACAGCCATTCGTAAACTCAGTGTGCTCGTGGTTGTCGTCTGTGTGACAATATCGGAGTAGATTACTGACTCTCCAGTTGAGAGTTTGGAGATTCCATTTCCATTCCATCTTCAGATTCCTCGCAGATTCCTAACACTTCTACGCCACACCTTCCCCATCTCCTTTGCAATTTGGGCAGCCTTGCTAGGTTCACACATGGTGAGGACATTCCATGTCTCCATGTTTACTTTTCCTTTCATCGAGGGTGAGAAGACACATCGGCCAATTGGCTTCCCGAAGTCTTTCACCAAATGGCGTCATTTCGTCTCCCCGATTCCAACAAGGAGTAAGTTTAATATAAGTGAAAAACTTGGGCACTGTGGTAGAATGTAGTTCCATATTAGATTTGTTTATTTGATATAAAGCGCACAGTGATACAGTATTATTTACTTGATTACGTTTCGAGCATAAATTATTGCTCATAATCATATCAATGTAATCACACTTCTTTCGACATCTGATTTTATAGTCCTGTCACCTGATCTCTCTTTGTTTTTTTGTTTTTTGATTGGTAGTAAAGTTTTCCATATCTCTGGTATAGGTAATAATAATTAATTAATTAATTAATTAATTAATTAATTACTGAATCTTTGTTCATCGAATTCACACCCAACACATGTAATAGGAATGACGCAACACCTATACCAGAGATATGGAAAACTTTACTACCAATCAAAAAACAAAAAAACAAAGAGAGATCAGGTGACAGGACTATAAAATCAGATGTCGAAAGAAGTGTGATTACATTGATATGATTATGAGCAATAATTTATGCCCGAAACGTAATCAAGTAAATAATACTGTATCACTGTGCGCTTTATATCAAATAAACAAATCTAATAAGGAGTAAGTTTGCCTTTATTTTTCACAATTTCTTTGTGCTTTGAAGTTTCTGTAGCGGTTGGATTGGTTTTGCGGGGTAGGATTGCTAGCCCTATGCCCAGCCTTCCCTCTTTACCCCAGGCTTAGGACCGGCTAGTAACTAGCGAACTGATTAACCAAGCGAGGTTAGAAGTTAACTTGCCAGGTAGTAATTAGTTACCTAACGGATCAAATAAGTTGAAATTGTAGGTGGATACTCACAACTGACACTAGATAGTGAGCTAACGAATTGTGGTTCCTTGTCTGGGTGCTAGCGTGAGAGCTTTCAGACCTCATGATCTTCGGTTCGATCACGCATGTCGTTAACAATGCAGTGAATTTAATAGTATATAAAACTGGATTGAACACTTGACAAATTCTCTCTGGTTTTCTCTCATTCCTCATCCACTATCAATCACTAGTGAATAGCTTATTTTGAGATATTTATCATCCTTAAAATCATTCATTGTATATGGATAAAAATCATAGTTTAGTGAAACTGCAATGACTTTTCCTAGATCAAAGATAAGAATTCAGCTATAAGTGGTTTTTCATCTTTCTCTCGTCATTTGTAGATTGGAATGTATACATTACATGTGTATTTGTGCAAAACAATTTGTTAACTTCCAGATGTTAGATAACTGAAATGAATGTAATTTTATCGAGATATACTACTGAAAAACCATATGAGTAGTTGGAAATGAATTATGTTGTTCAGTAGTAGTATATTTCGCTAGTTCATGACACTTATGTCAGAGATCACACCTTGTAATCTCGGCTGAGTTGTTTCCCGAGGAAACCTTGTTGACACCACAGTTGGGTAGTGGAAGAAAAATTCTCACCTATGGGAAATGTTAACGTGGAGTAGTGCAATTTTTAAATTAATCATCCTGTTTAGTGGTAAATTCCCCTTTAACTGGTTCCAAGCAGATTATATTGATACTGGTTTTTCAACGCATGCAAAAAGTTTCAACACGAGAAATGCTAATTTTTATTCTATTTCTTTTATATCCCTATGGTGGCACAGGTTAGAAATGTATACGGTTAGATAGTGCGTGACTTATACCTACTATATCGCTCAGTCTGATACTGAATTTAATAACCACCTGATGTCGAATCGAAATGCACTAAGTGAACTTATGCGCAATCATGTAATAAGAAGTGGGCCACACATAGGGCGTGGGGACTAAGAATTCTACTACCTGGCTAACCAAGGCTCTTAGGTGTAGCGAGGTTCAAACTGGTGGCCAGCTGGTTGAAAGGAATCTCCCTAGATCAATGAGCCATAGCCTCAATTTGTTTGGAGTAAACAGTCAGTTTTGCTGTAAGTTGCCTAAAGATGGCTAGGAGTGGATTTCAGGATGCTTACTTCGCCCTGCTTGGGACTAGTCAGCTGGATGTACCTGCACTCCAGTGAATTATGTTCCCATTGATACTCATACCCAGAATCCACTGCTTCAGACGCCATGGGGTTATCTAATAGACCATCGGGGTAAGACAGCCAATTCTTGTGCAACCGGTATCGGTTATTATTATTTGTTCATATTTTTAACTTCCTGTTTTTGTTCTGGATCAAATTGATACCCGTTGCAAAAGTGGATGCATCGGTATGCAAGTTCATCCAGTTGACTAGTCTCAAAAAGCACGAAGCGCGCATCCTGTATCTCTCTGCTACAACATAATGAGTAATCAAACAATATCGAGACATCCGTATAGGAGCCCATGTGTCAACAGAGATTGGTCAATTCAATCCAAAATAACAGCGGTAAATTACAAGTATCAGTAAATAAGAAACCTAACTCACTTTCAACATTAGTACTAAGTCGCTTGAGATTTATTCCAGTGTGGTTTTTTCAAATATTCATGGATTTCCTTTACTGTGGTAATCCATTTGGGTAATTATTTTACTCTATAGAGTGAGAAGGGTTAAATATATCCTTGCTGGTCTCTAGTTACTGGTGCGTTCTAATTATTATTATTATTATTATCACTATTATTATTATTATTATTATTATTATTTTTATTGATTTAATTGTAACCTTGTGTTCTCTCCCTGGCGTTTGATAAACTGTGCATAGATCTTTATGCTTTCTACGCTTGGGTGTTTGCTCGATCTGGTCTACTTCTTGCACCACTTATTCCAGACTCACATAACCCCCGGTTACAGACGCATACTTCCTCATCAATAGACAATAACAGATCAGTCATTTGTCCAGCTGCACTACAGGCTGATTACCTTGATGGTGTTTTAAACAACCCACAGTTGAATGATCAAGCCACTGGATTGAAGGATTTATTCGGTACACTTTATTGGATATGGAGTGACAAGGCGTTGCATAGATCATGTGAACCTAGCCCATTGTTGAACAGAAGACAACTGAAAACTGAACAGAATACTTCGTCACCTTTAATGAATGATAAACAAGAAACACAGTTTTTTGTGAGTTTTTCCCCCTCAGGTTTTCCGTCCATCATTATTATCATTGCAAACTGTATTTTTTTCAACTGATGCACTCCATTGGTTGTTTGCTGTGGAACTGTGGCTTATTGATTTTAGGCTGTTGACTTTTGACATGTGGTTTGATCAGCCACATGGTATTAATAACCCTTACACACAACAAGTGTGGTTCACTGTCTACTGCACAAAGTGACTGATAGGATTTCGTTTCGTTTCGATTCTATTCTCCGATTCGTTTGTTGGTTGCTCATTTCATGAAAGAGGTTAACTGCCTGAAGTTATTACTTGTGAGTGTTAACCAATTACAGAGTGAGGATATTTAATTGCTAGTAAAAGGCGGAAGTCGAGGACCATTTCATTCATGTTCACAAAGTAACTTGATAGTATCATGATAGTAAGAAAATGCCTTCATCTTGCATCCAATTCAGGATAGTCTTAGAGTTCTTGTTACTGAAGCGACCCAAACCAGTATAATCCCCTTTAGCTTCTGACTTCTCAAATTCGAAGAAACGTTTGGTAATATTCATCGGAGAAAAGGCAGAAGAAAATATTTGAAAGTATAGTTCTATCTGGGATGAAATTGAGACTGCATCATACTAGCCAAAAGTAAGGGAAAGTGGTAATCTAATGCTTCATAGATGATTTTTTTCACTGAGTCAAAAATAACCATCCACATAATAATTGACCGTTGATTTATACGAAAAATAGGATCGAAATTTCGCACAAATCCAATTTAGTCAAAACCTGTTGTAACTCGAGTGAGATCTATCTTTGGAAACCAATTCTTGCAATATGTATGGCTAAGTAATCTGGCGTTTTCATTTACCCCGAAGATTGTTATCATTCAATAAGGCAGTAAAATGAGATCAGTTTTGTAACTTGTTAGCAAAATCGGCTAAAATACGAATTGGTGATGGATTTCGTTGTGTGTGCGAAACATAGTTCATGCTTTACTACCGGGTCAAGTTTATCTCCTTGTATGTGTTTGGTTCCAATAAGCAATGGTAAGTAAGTTAAGTTTTCTTCAAGATCTAGATGAATACAGGTGAAGTCATGAGTGCGATGCATGAAGTTGTCAACTGTCCATCTAAGCTGTGTAGAATAATCGGAATACGACTAAGAGTGGACATTTGCGATACATACGATCAGCCACACTTATTAGGAGGGAGATAGAGTCAAAAGTACTTACTGTTTGGCTTTTCTGATCTCTACAGACGGAGCAGGCTTCAGACCTGTGACCCTCTGACTGAAAATCAAGAACCCACACCACTGAACAGTGTACAAAGGAAAGTACAGACTGCCAGTCTTGGGTACTCGAAACTTCCATAATCGATTGCCCGGAACCTTCTTTTCAGTTTAGGCTGCTTTGTGGTTGTTCAAGTGACCTTATATGCCAAAGAGTGTAAGAGACATTGTGTTTTACTTGGTTGTAGGCACTTGTCAAGAAACCCTGCCTGGTCTAGATTTCGCACTTGTTGGTCCTCGTCAGAAAGGCGTATCTGCAACCTCGAGGGGAACGGTGTCCCCTCTGATATACTTATCGGTGCCACCTAGTGTTCTATTCAGGAGCGATACTATCGGGCAATCCAGGGCGCCGACAGCAGCACTGGGTGATAAGGGTTCGAACCTTAGAGGAGACATTGGTTCCCACGAGGTTGCGGACACACCTTACTGACGAGTAACAACAAGCACGAAACCTAAGTTTATCAAGGTTTCCTGTCGATTGCCTCCAGCCAACTAACACCCTTCAAAGTACACTGCGATGGTCAACTTTCAAACGTGGTAGATATATTACAAACTGATCGATAAAATTGTGCCAACACTGAGGACTAGAGGACGTGGAATTTGTTACTTCCCAGTGACCAGGAGGCGTTGTATTTGTTAAATGTATTGCATAATGCTGTTAAGCCTACTCTACACAAATGACCTATGCTATAGCTTCGGCATTCATCAGTTAGCTAGCATTTCAAATACCTTGGCTATAGCTCTCATGGGGTAATCCGTGAAAGCACTAAAATTAAATATATTGCTACAATTGCTACATAAAATCAATAAGAATATGAACATCAAGTCGTCAGGTATTCAAATGTTTGCCACACTGTGAAATGCATGATCAAATAGACTGAACTGGAGTTTTATACATGATACAAGTAAATATAGGACAAAATAATGCACAAATATACTATACTATTTGCCAATAATAGTAGTATAATTCGCAAATCAAAAAGAATATGAGAGGAGGAATTCGTGCTGTGCAGGGTAGCACAAATTATAGGTAGCGAAAAACGGATTGAACATTGAAAGTAATCTTTTCAAGAATCAAGAGCTTTTAAATGACATCGAAATAATCCATGAAGGCAAGCGTCTTATGAAAAAAGTGGTTTGTGGTGACAACTTAACAGTTAGGTGAGACTTGTCACGAAATTTCAACCTATTTTCCATCGGAAACCAAAATATCCAGACTGCACATTACGATCCGCTTGAGATTATAAGTGGCATCACCAGTTTACTAAAGTAGCTATCCAGGTAGCATTAACTAATCAGCTTTGTCTGAGTACACCGTCCAGCGCTTAGATCACTTTGATCTGCTAGACTGGTGATCACATGGTGATTGGTGTCAGTGGTTTGCAGCTGTTCATATCAGACAGCAGTAGTAATGTCATAAGAACAAGTGAGATGATGATAGTGTGTTCATTAGAAGTTAAACCACCTTACAGGCTTTCTTATAACAAGTCTTATAGCTTGTTCAAACTAAGTGTGTTACGGAGAGAAGGAAGAATATTTGATTCTGAACACTTACCCCTTTTGAAATGCTTAGCCGTATGACTTTCAGAGGGGAAGTTTCAAAGTTAACGTTTATACGTGAAGTAGTTGGATGAATGTATAATTTTAACCTTCATACCACATGGCGTTTTGATTTACCACACATGAGCGCTTCCTGAAGTTGGTTCTCAAAAGGAAATAGTTATTGTCCCAAGGATTTAAGCTCATATTACTGGATATTGGATCCACAAATGTCAACTTACTTCGAACGTCTAACATCTTAAACGTGTACTGTGATGTTGTTTCATCTTGCTTAACAACTATAATCTATTCCTTACTCGACAAATTTTGATCAACACCTAAGCCGAAGAATATAGTATATTCTAAATGAAGAATCTAAGTACATTGGCATAGAAATGAAAAGATACTATGCTAGAATAAGTGCTTCCAAGCGTTCAGTAATCATGACTGGCTTTTTGCTTTCCTGATTTGCACGTTCAGTGGATTGGATGAAAGTTGTATGTTTGTGGTCAGCTGACACATGCTACTCTCCTGAGTTTACACATGTGAACCGTTTCGTCAAGAAAACTATAAGACCGTCAAGGGAAGAAAACTGTTATCTTAGGAAGCAGCATGAGTATGGCTATACTGATTTATTCTGTTTGAGAGTTTGTGGGGGATTTATCGATTCCAATTTGATATTCATCACGGATGAACATTAGTTGGCTCAAAAGTAACTTGCTCGATGCAGAACCTCGAGGTCCTGGGTTCTGCCCTGGTAGGATTATACGTGGGTACCACTGAGGTGATCCATGCTAGTACGAAAAAAACTATTCAGTGCTGCTAGGTCTCTAATAGTTTTTCAGTTGATGTCAGTTCATGATGAGTACTAACCTGAAATACTGAGCCCTGACCGAACCATTTTCTAGCGATGACTTAAATGTCTATATATTTTGTTGAAATACATTCACCTTAACTACCTCGAAAAACTATATTTTTCATATTCAGGATGAATCTCCGTATGATGTAACCAGTCCGTTTTATTCAGGCTCCACAAAATTCATTCCACATAATCATAGCAATAGATCACCACCATTACGACAACAACAACCGATTGTGGAGGGAAGCACAAGCTCAGGTTATGGTTTATTTCATTCAACAGTAGAAATTACTAGACGACGAATCATACCTCCACGTCGAAGAAAAACTGTTACTGGCGTAAATTTACCCAAAGTACTCAAAAATGTTGGAAATCCTTCTTCAAATGTATTACGTAATGGTAAAGCGTCAACAATTGACTTAAAGGTAACTGGTGCTAAACAGCTTTCACCTCTTTCAAAACCTCAGTCTATTTCCCACTTAACATTGAATGAAGATCATTCTTATCCTACTCCTACGAATAATAATGTATCACCACCGAGATGGCGTCCATGGATTGGACAATCCACCTTAACTACACGTTCAACTAATACACTTTGTAACTCTACCCCTCCATCTCCTGGCCCTAATTCTGTCCAATCGAATACAGATCATTGCTTACAAGTTCTAGTTATGAATGAAGAAACTAGCCAGCTACAAGTTCTAAATTATCCAATCAGGCCGAATATGACAGCCAGAGAATTAAGTAAGTCATTATTGGTTATTTTATTCCCTATTGATTGATGAAAATAGATTATTCATTCAACAATTCTTCAAAATAAGAGACTACTGAACAAGTTTCTATTTACACTTAAGAGCTACAGGGGAAGTTTTGACCTATGGTCTTTTCGAGTGATGTAGAGACTGATAAAGTTGATGCTTAAGCGCCGACATTTGTGGAATTTTCAGTGACCAATACGATGTCAAAATAGAGATAGCATTCTGTTTAAAGTAGTGTAAGCTCTAGCCTGAAAATAATAGACACATCCAGCTTTAAGGGTGTGACTGAGTGGTATAGGGAGTTCATTGCCTATTGTACGAATGTATATGAAATGGTTGGATATTTCTTTTTTTGAAAACTAAGGAAATTTTCAGAGTACTGGAGTTTTGGAAATGCAGGTTTTAAAGAAAAAAAATGCCTAGAATATACTGAAAACCAAGAAATCATATAATCTTTTAAGCAGCTTAGTTACACTTCAACTAGCAACTAGTCAACCAAAAACACCGTCCACAAAGTCAACTCAAAGTTTGATGTTGAAACCAGGTTCTTTAGATTTTCTAGGCTTTAAATGATCTATGAGTATATAAGAAAAAATAACTGTTTTTCATCTTTTACGCTTAATAAGTGTTGTAAATAGGAGTTTTGCTGAAAAGTGATATCTAGAGTTGACTAGATATTCTGTAGAAGTTGTACGCGTAACATTAATGAACAAGTTCTGGCACTTGCGAACACAGTTGTCTTTGATAGTACCAAGGATTGGACCATAAATCTAGTTGATACTGATGAGATCCATGTTAGGAATGAAAAGATTTCCAGCACTGTTTGACTGAATGATGTTCAATCTTTTTGATGCATCAATTGGGTAATTTACTATTCTACTGCCTTTCTTCTGCACACTTTTTATGCTTACACTTTTCTCCTACTTACTATTAATAAGCAGTATTATAATGGTGATTTTAGTTGAGTTTTTTTTGAAGATTCATTACATTTATCCAGTTGTCTGAAGATTTTTAACTTCAACATAAATTGATTTTGCTCCAGAGCCATTGACTGTATAAGCTAACACATGTATATATTTCCAACTACTCATATGGTTTTTCAGTAGTATATCTCGATAAAATTACATTCATTTCAGTTATCTAACATCTGGAAGTTAACAAATTGTTTTGCACAAATACACATGTAATGTATACATTCCAATCTACAAATGACGAGAGAAAGATGAAAAACCACTTATAGCTGAATTCTTATCTTTGATCTAGGAAAAGTCATTGCAGTTTCACTAAACTATGATTTTTATCCATATACAATGAATGATTTTAAGGATGATAAATATCTCAAAATAAGCTATTCACTAGTGATTGATAGTGGATGAGGAATGAGAGAAAACCAGAGAGAATTTGTCAAGTGTTCAATCCAGTTTTATATACTATTAAATTCACTGCATTGTTAACGACATGCGTGATCGAACCGAAGATCATGAGGTCTGAAAGCTCTACGTACGTAACTCTACGCTATAAGCTAACACTGGTAGTGATGTTCGTCTTTCATCTTATATACATTTGTTGTACATATCATAGTTATTCTCAGTGGGTTGTAAGGTATAGCTGATTTTTAGAATGTGTTTTTTTTATGGGTTACAGGTTTATAAATGACAACTATATCAGTTTATAGATATCCAAAACAAATTGGGGTTTGATGGTTTGACATTGAGTAAATGATGTTCGTTAATTTGGTATTGGTATTTACCAAAACAAAATCAATTCGTTCCAACTGATGTTTTGCTATTTTGTCCGGCTAATAGCTTTAACATAGTTATAGTAAACTCCAATTTACAATATTCTCCAAGATTATATATGAGAACTTGACAAGTGTTCTCTTACATGAATGATTCTGCGTAGCTAGAATTGTAGAATAAAGATCGTTTCCTAATGTAGGGTGTTATGTTGTGTGTGAAGAGTGTATGAATTCAAGATTCAGATTTGTTTGTATACATGTGTTCATAGTTCTTATTGTATTTATGTTGGTTATGTCAATATATGAGAATGGGTTGAGACCATGTCAAACCATTTTTTACTTCCTCATTCCCATTTAGACAGTCTTCATCCCACTTAGTGTGAAGAGATTATGCTATGACACGTTCTTTATAATTTCTAAAGCCTTTCTGACTAATTTTGACCTGAAATTAAAAAATGTAGAGCTATAGCTAACGTGTTTTTTTTCAGTTCCACTGGATTTCTACGGGTTCGGTGTTCATTTTTCCTAATTGTGATTTCACAAGAAGTTCGCCTTATGTATATTGTATCGCAGTCTGATCGTTTTATTTTATAAACATGATTAGATTTTAAATCTAGAGGGATCTCATCCTTCAAATGAACTAAGGTGCTATGCAGCGTGTTTGGTGTTCTGTAGAACACTCTGGTGTTGTATTTGTTGATCACTCTCCTAATTTCATCCGATGTGTGTGTGTGTGCGAGCGACTTGTAAGGGATAACTATAATTGAGGCCCATGATTTAGGAGTAGTTTTATAATCTAATTCGATGTTATTTTCTATTTTGCTAATGGATTTTACCTCATAATTATTCCTTTTAAGTATCTTGTTCACATATTTTAATTCCTTAACTCCTTCATTTTCATCCGTTACTACAATGTGTGCTCTCCTTAAGAGACTGGAGGCACTAATTGGATATGATGAGTTGAAATCTAAATATTTCTTCTAACGCATTGTTTCCCTGAAAATGGTTATACCTGAATGTGCATTTTCTTTTCGCCTAACAAGTCGGTCAAGGAAAACCAGTTCCCTCTTATCCGTTTCTTTTTCTGAGTTCAACTTGATACTGGAAGATGTAGAGTTCAGTTGATCTAAGGATGCCTAGTATAAGTCTTGTTTTAAAATTACAAATGTGTTATCAACATATCCCAGCGAAAGTTTTGGCTTTAGTATGTATATGAAGACACTTTCTTCGAATTTATTCATAAATAGGTTAGCTAGTATGGGTGATACAGGCAAACTCATAGCAACAGAGTTAGTTTACTTGTACAGTTTTCCTTAAAATGTGAAGTACGTAGGTTCTAAGCACAATTTTAGGGCCATCATGGTGTCCTTGGTATCCAGTGGATCATTTTCTCTTACTGACGTATCTGAGTCTTATTATATTATTATTTGTCCCTTGGGTTCCTAGTGGAACATAGGGGTTCACTAGCACGTCTCCATTCCACTCTGTTCTCTGCAATCTTTTGAACCTGGCTCCACGACAGCCCACAACCTCTCATTTCTTCCTCACACTATCTCCTGCATGTCACCCTCAAATCACACGCCCAACTCACTGTTCCCCATCTGGGTTACACTCGAGAGCCCGGCCTGACGCGTGATGTCCCCAGTCGGCCTTCTCAGTGTATGCCCAGTCCAATCCATCTCCACTTCCTTCCAGTGCATAATTATTAGACGATAGGTTTTTAGTTGGTTCATTGCCAGTCAGATTTTCTTGTCGCTTATTCTTTCTGACCATCTGAACTTCAGTAACGAGGCAGCGTAGGCAGTTGTTGATGAACATCTGTAGTTTATTGGAAATCCTTTTCGTAACGCGCCAAGCCTCTGAACCATATAGAAGCACTGACTTGAAGTTGGTGTTGAAAATCCCAATCTTGTTCACGCCTTGTGTTGAGTGCAGAAGATCACCACACTGGTTTCAGGCTAATGAACGCCTGTCTTGCTGTGTTTCCGATCCTGGCTGCTTTGACATCCTCGTCTGTGCCTGTGCTGCCTGTAGTTGAGACAGTGCTGCCTAGATAGGTGAAAGAGGTTACTTCCTTTAAGTTTCTCCCGTTGATGGTGATTGGAGTTTGCTGTTGTTGTTAGTGGTGGTGGTGTTGGTTAGATATCTTCATCACCTCTACCTCTGTCTTCTCTACGTTCACTTGTAGTCAGTCCCGTCTTCGCTGCCCTGTCTCTTCTGTCAACTTGTTAGTTTTTGCCTGTAAATCTTGAAGTTTGTGTGACATAAGACAGAAGTCATTGGCGAAATCCAAACCTCCTAGGATCTTTTCTCCGGCCCAGCGTACCACCTCTTCTCGCTCCTAACAGTTGTCTGTTACATGATGCAGTCGACCACAAACAGGAATACAATGGGTGATAGTTGACAGCCTTGTCTTACTCCTGTCTTCTCTTGAAAGGCATCACTGAGCTTCCTATTGTGAATTACTTGGCATGTGGCGTCTTCATATAGTTACTGAATGGGGTTGATAAAGGTTTGTGGTACTAGAACCGTAGTGTTGAAGCAGGAGTTGCAAATTACTTCTCGGTCGATGCTGTCGAAGGCCTTTTCAAAGTCGATGAAGTTGAGGTAGAGAGTTGACTGCCATTCTATGCTCTGTTCTATGAAGACGCGAAGCGTACCGTTGCATCTTGGTCCGCACATGATTTGTACTTCCTGAATCCAGCGCATCCTTTAGTCTCTCCAGGATGATGTGGCATAATATTTTGCTTGGAGTGAACAAGAGTGGAGCATGATTCCTCACCATTTGTTGCAAACACTTAGGTCTCACTTCTTCGGGAGTTTGACAGGATAACCCTTCTTCCAGTCGATAGGCTAGTACCTTTCCTTCCTTCCAGACCTTTTGCAATAGTGATGTTAGCATGTCCACTGCTGTCCCTTGTGTCTGTTCTCAGTGCTTCTGACGGAATTCCATCTGCTACTTTCCCGCATTTTAGTAGCTTTATGGTATTCAGGACTTCGACTTTCATCGGAACGCTTGAGTTCACTGGTAATTCTGTGGCTGCTGGTGATATTTCTGGACGAAGTGCAAGTGGTGGTCGTTTCAAGAGCTTTTTGAAGCGGCCAGCCCATCGTTTCTTTTGTTTCTCTTCTTTCGTAATTAGATTTCCTTCATCATATTTTATTGCTTTCATCTGTGTTGATCTCTTCCCTCCTGGGTAGTAACCTGGTTATTTGATATATTGTTGTCAGATTCGTACCTCTCCTACCTGCAACCTGTCCTGCTTCACTTGCCAGTGTATCGTGGAAGTATCTCTTGTCTTTTCGTGCACTCTTCTTCACTTATTTATGCACTCCAGTGCTTAATTGGTTGTGTTCAGTTTCTATTTTCGTTGTTCATCCCTCCACTACACTGCAACGGTTCATCTTCTGCTTCACCGTCTTCCTCTCCTCTCCTCTCCTCTCCTCTCCTCTCCTCTATCAACTTCCATCTGTCCATCGACATCCATTCATTGTCTTGTCCTGCTTCTTTGTTCCTCTCTAATACGGTTATGCAGGTTTCTTTCCACATAGCTTTCAAAGAGTTCCAATGTTCTTCCACTCACCATCCTTCAGGGATGTTGCTCAATATCTCCCATTTTGTCCTGATGACTGATTGGTGTGTAGATGTCCTTTGTAGTTTCGTCCTTCAATTTCTGGGTGTTCAACTTCAACTGTGGTCTACACCCAACTTCTTTGAAGGCTTTCAACTTTATTTGAGGATAGGTTCCATGCACTTGATAGTGAGTGGTGTGAACCCACATCTGCTGTGCTTCTTGATCTTGTGTCAAGTAGGCTGCATCTCCACTTTCTTCACATTGAGATGAAGTCGATCTGATTTTTAGTGTGTCCTGGTGTCTGGCGAAATCAAATCTATGTCACTCTGTGAATATCCTTGTGTTTGTACACACTGCCTCCAGTCAATCACCGAATCATTGAATGTGCAGTAGGCTGCGAACAGTTCTCCATTCTCACTTATCATTTCACGGAGTGCTTCTGGACCCTTGGTTAGTTCTCTTCCTATGTTGTTTGCTCCTACTCATGTCATCCATGAGGATGAATTTTAATGTCGCTATCTAGAGTGGTGTATTGTCCAGTGTTGATTGCAGTTGTCTGTAGAATTCCTCCTTCTTCTCTTCATCTGCACTATTTGTAGGTGCGTAGCGTAGCATTGAATGATTGTGACTTTCCTTCCTTTTGAGTTGAATCTTTCTGTCATGATCTTGATCGTGGGGGAGATTGGTTCCCACTGCATGAGAGCTTTTGATGCTCTTCGGTGACATCGTAATAGTTACTCCAAAACTCAGTGTGCTCGTGGTTGTCGTCTGAGTGACAATATCCATCTACAGATTCCTCTCAGATTCCTAGCACTTCAGTGCTATACATTCTCATCTCTTTTGCAATCTGGACAGCCTTGCTAGGTTCACACATGGTGCGGACATTCCATGCCCCATGTTTACTCTCGCTTTCATCGAGGGTGAGAAGACACATCGGCTGATTGGCTTCCCCAAGACTTTCACCAACCGGCATCATTTCGCCTCCTTGATTCCAGCGAGGAATACGTTTAATTTTTTGTTTTATATTTTCTTTGTGCTTTTACGTTTCTGTAGCGGTTGGATTGGTTTTGCGGAGTAGGGTTGGTAGCCTTGTGCTCAACCTCCTCTCTTTTTCCTGGCTTAGGACCGGCTAGTAACTAGCGGACTAGTTAACCAGGCCAGGTTATCTGAGTCTAATGAATCAAAACTAATATCTAGGTTGATCATTGATTTTAATACTAGTATATAAAGAATTGATGTCATGGCTTACCGTAATTCTGGGCAACTTGAAAATTAGTAGAAATTTTTATTTTCTCAAAAGTATTTGCACTGATATATGCTATGTAGCTGGTAATTGGTTCACTATTGTTTGTTTGATTGTTTGGTTTTGTCTGATGAAATCTCAGTACAGTTGATTAAGTACAAGAAAATAGATCCGATAGCTAAATTGGATGTGTAAGGTATATCGACCAGTTGAAATCGTCTATTGGGGAAAACGCTCTGATGTTGGTAAAATCCTTATACCTCGCCATAGTTTATTCCTTTGCAAACTATCTCATGTTCTGCATAGTATTGTGCCCCCTTCTTGTGCTTTGTGTTCCCATCCATCATTGTCACTTTCCATGTTGCTAGACATACTACTCAGCAGTAGCTGTCACTGCACAAATAAACAAGTCAGTCATTGAAAACACAAGCATTCAAAAATCTAAATCGAATCACCCCAAGAACAGACAGTATGTAAGAAATCATCAATGAGATAGAATACATCAGTATAAATTATATCTAAAGAAGTCATAATATTCACCAATTCCCAAATCACACTCGGGAAGACTGAAAAAAAAACTATGACCCAAAGAATCCCAGCTTGAATCACACTTGTACAGAAATATGAAATATCCTGAACTTCAAGTATTCTTCGAAATTCCATTATCAACTCCTTATTATCACCGTTATCGATCATTAAGGTAAGTTCATATGACTGCAGTCCTTTATGTACAAAAATTAGCAGAGAGACTCATCTTAGAGAATATCTTCATGATTTGCGTTTTACATTACTGCTGTTTATCATGAGATTACTTGTTTAAGGTGTATTTCTACTTGTCCTGACTTAGCCATTTAATATAAAATGAGTGTGAACCACAGTTTTATAAAGGGATGTGTAAGTAATTACTGAATTAGACAACAAGTAGGATCTATGCACAAGAATACCTGTTTAGTTTACAGTACACAATATGTCGTGGAGCGTTGTCATTGGATTTTATAATCTGCGAGTGTGGATCATCATGAACCACTGTCTAGCTTTTAAACTTTCTCCTTCTTTTCTTTTTAAGTCATCCTTCAATAGCATGCCTGATATAGTAGGCTTGTGTTGGCCATACACTTCTAAGAACCAAGTCCACATTTTCAGAAGAAATTTGAACTTGTTTCTTTACCCATGATGCTAATCAACTTGGCTCCAAGTTCCATGTGTTGTGTCATCGAACTTTATCCCGATTCTGCGTATTTAGCTGTGAATTGTACTGACAACAAGTGGGCAGGCGTTTCGTTCAATTCTAAACCCATCGACCAGAAGTACCTTCATTATAGTGGTGGTGTTCCCGTAGTGACTAAGCATTAACACCCATTTCTTTTCCAATACCAAAGAAACATACGTCAGAAGTAACCTCTTTGAGATGGGCACTCGAGTTTTTAATTTTCTTTTATCCACGTTATTGAGACGCATTGCTCAACCTATTACTGGCGCATCAGAAATCGTGTACAGTTATGAGCAAGGGATGTTGGTTCCCTCAAGGTTTCAGGCACGCCTTGCTGACGAGTGCCAACAAGCACGAAACCTGCGATTATGGCTTCTCACTAATTGCTTTCAACTAACTAGTACGGTTGTTTTGCGCATAGTGATAAACACAAAAGTATAAAGTTCAGATGAAATAATGCATCTTGTTTCTTTTGTTTTGTTTTCATCTTTTCATAGCCTTCATATTCCATGTTCACTTATTCTACTTCCTTCACTTTTATTTAGACAATTTAATCGCATTTCAGATGAGAATATTTGATTCGAAAGATTTTGGACTATTTGCCTACATCAATGAAACAGGTAAATGGTTGTTATTCTCTCTTCTTTCTTTCTATGAAAAAAAATTGAACGAGAGAAATTCAAGGTGGTTTGTGATTAATACAAAATCTGTAATTTGAAATAGCCCATTGAAGAATAATTTTATATTATTATTGTTATTGATACTTTTCATCAACCACCATCATTTTCATCAAAGTAAGAAGAACAAAATATGCAGAGTAAATTGGGTTCATATTTATTCCTCGACTTATCCCCTCCTCAGCTGCTAACAGTCTGGAATAAATGAAAAACTAGTATGGGATAAAATGAGAAATATACTTTTGAGTTAGAGTAAAGTTTTACCGTGTATCTCAAATACCATTTGGTTCAGTTATGTCCAATTCTGAGATTATATACTGAAGTAGATGTATGTGTTTGTGTACGCGCCAAACTTTCTACAGAAAATTACACTATGATGCATATTATCTACTTATAGATGTAAAGCATATTCATTTAATATCGTTGCATCAGCATAGGAGCCCATATACCAACAGAGGTCGATCAATTTAATCCAATATACCCATTACACAAGAGGTGACTCATTCGTCTTAATGGTCTTGCGGATAACGCTTGAAAGTTTGAAACGATGGGTACAGGGTTCAAGTTTCAAGGGGAATGCCACTACTCCCTGAGGTGCAGGTTCATCCAGCTGACGACTCCTGATTAGGACGAAATGGTCTTTCTCGATTCCAATGTTAGCCACCACCAAGTAAATTAAAATATATTCATTGCATAAGATGATAAACTTTGTCGGTCCCCTGTATATTGATTTTGTTGATTGCTTAAAAAGTTAACTAGTTGGTGTTATTCAATGACATCTCAATATCGACTGGATGAACTGAGAAGACTGAAGACCACAAGTAAACAGAATACATTAGATGATTGACTGACAGTTTGACTCAACCTTTAAATCTGTATACTACATACTCCGAAAGGGGAATAGTGTATGACAAACTCTCAAGCTAAATTTATGATGAATTCTGTAGTCATGATTATAACTATAAGGACATTACTACCAGAACTTCTTTTTTATCGAACCTCATCAAGAAACTCTTCACAGTTTATTCATCACCAAGGTTCCATGTACTAGCATATCTCTGGTAACACTGAAATTCTTTATCATTATCATAAAAGCTTCGTCTCCATTCTTCTATCTTTCTTGGTAATGGGCATATATAGTCTTCAAACTTTCCCTATCTTTGGTGTTTTTCCACATTACTTGAAATCAAGAACTGTTATCCTGTATCTTGGAAAACCACACTCTAAGCTAAAGATTAGACCATTGTGTGTGCAATTGGACAAAAGGTTTCAGTGACTGGAATTCTTGAATCCCAATTCACAGATGTATACCGATTTGGAGACATGCATATAAAATATAGATGCAATTATTCACTTGATCTCAATTAACTAGTGACTTTCTGGTTATCTGTGAATTCCTAAACCACTTTTTATAGTTCACTAAGTGAAGGTGTAGCGTTAATTCTTGAAGTAGAAAATACGCTGTTTTACTGCATCTCATTTGAGACTCGTCTCTGGCTTTTGGCAATTAGTGCGGTAGCTCACTAAGAATTTATGAGTCGTGGTACACACACGTACTCTTTTATATAGCCTAATCTTATGTATCTGCTGAACAGAGTTTAGAAGTAGTAGAAACATAATTCTCCAGGAAGTTGGTTAATCTCCTCTCACAAAACAAAATGTCCACATAGGTTTGTCGTAACGGTGAACTTTGACTCCCTAATGACAGACAGAAAGATAATTTGGTGAAACGTTTGAAATTTTAATCTAGTGAACCAATAACGGTGCGCACTGGTTAAGAGTGTGTTCCTCAATAGGCACCAACTAATTTGAAGGATGAATAGCTGTATTTTTTGATCAGGGGGTTAAAATGTTACTCGTAGACAACATCTCTATCAGTTACCTTAGAAGATGATCAACACAGAATTACCACTTCTCTTGCTGCAAATAACTGGACTGTCAGCAATATGCCTGCAGCTATGTTGGGTAGAAAAATTAAAATTGGGAAATCCTTCGATTCGAAGATATAAACATCATAGGCCTCATAACTTTTCTCATTGATGAAAAGGATATTTAATAAGCAGTGATTCCTTCTGCTAAATTCGATTTCCTGATAAATTTAGCATTGACAGATGAAGTATCCAGGTTGCTAGGTGAAAACGTTGACAGCATTTTGTGCACTATTAAACCTCCTTGGCCTCAGATAGCTTACTAATTGACCACAAGGATAACACCATCTAAATACAAATTCATATCAGCAAAAATCAGACAGTGACTGAAAACACAGTCCATTTTGGCCGCGTAAAATCTACGTCACCGGTATAATTGTCGTTACAGCCTTGTATGTGTTAAGGACCAATAGTACTGTGTGAAAGTTCTTGCCGTTTACATTTTAAGATCATGTATGCAGATAACTAATCACTGAAGAGCCAGAGACAGAAGACCTATGATGTTTAAATCCCACTGCAATCTGGTTTTCTTTTGACTTCAGCTGCTATTCACAAAAACCATCTAAATTCACTGAATAAGACTACTACAGGTATTCTGATGACGCCTATTTTGCTTTTCAGGTAAATAGATTCACAGTCATACGGCAATTGTTTTCGTTACTAAATCATATTTAAATTTATGGTTTAAACCGTCTGTTTCTATCTCTTTTTAAAGAAATCCAACTAGAAGATGAATTGCGTATGGCCGAATTTACTGGCGCGAATTCAGATGTGTCTCACTCAGTACACACGCTTCCAATGGCATTCAATACAATCACAACAACACCATCACGTTCTAAAGCCGGTACTCTGAATTCACTCAGAGATCCTGAATCGCTTCCATTTAGAAGTCACATCTCCATTAGTTCTCGTTCTGATTCTACAACAAGCAGTTCATCTGAATCTCGATCACATCATACAATATCACGTCGTATTCGAAAATCTAGTCGAAATCGTCCTGCATGGTGGGTGATGTGTGGATCAAATGGTCAGACAAAACATCACCTAGTTGGTTCAGTCCAAAATCCGCCCTGTACAGAGTCAACAGGTCAACAAGAAAGCCTAGTTATACATAAACCCGTCTTAGTTTATAGGCGCAAATCTGGTTATTTCGCCTTATCTGATCGTTTATTAGTTGGATTGAAGTCTCTTCAACAACAAAATCCAGAACAATCTTTCCCCATAATACCTTGAGTATGTTCGATGATTTGAAGAATAATATGAATGATATGAATATTAAATTTCAGCTTTTGAAATTAACTTCCATTTAAAAAGTTAATTTAATCCCGCTGCTTAACAAAGGGCCATATGATACAATTTTTACTTAAAGTTTTATACTACTTACAATTGAATTCAGTAGCTATAATGTAAGATCATGTGACAGACTTGGGATCAACTAAATAACAACTCCTAATTATGTGCATTTATTTAAAATCAGATATTTATTCTCTCACCATTGTTTTTTCGTGAATAATTTTTCTCTGTTAATCAATTGACTCAGTGTAATCAAAAAATTTGCATAGACGTGCGTTACGATACAATATATACGTCTCACGTATTTTTTGAGTCTGATGTTACAGTTTCATGAACTGTTGCTTTTTTCTTCTCATTCATTTAAAATTCGAGTTTCCAAGTAAATACATAACTGAAATAAATATTTTTGTTTAATTTTTCCGCCCATCAACTTAAGGTAGGCGGAAATGCCTATACAAACCATTTTCTATCACTGGATGACCATTTCGTAAATAATTTACAAATTGCACGATCCATATTGGCATTTCCCAGAGCTGAGTAGTATTTTTGAACTATCCAACTGCAGTGTTAACGTGATTCTGTTGGATGTGACTGAGTCAAGTCCAAAAGTTGTGATCTCTGACACAAAAGTGTCATCCAATAGAGAAAAAGACGACTGAATGACTTCAGTAGTTGGAAACTAGTCAGGCCGATCTATCGGTTTTGCCGGTTGGATCAGAGTTATCCAAACACGGGATGGCCATTTCAGATTTAGGTGATCTAAAATTTGGCCATATATATATATGTATATATATCACTGATTATCTGGGTTGGGGCAAGAGAGTAAAACGGCTGTCAGGGATTTAGATCAATCTGATCTGGCTGGCGAAATCTACAGAGTGATTTCTAACTACTCAAGTTGTACAGTAGCAGTATGCTTTCTATCATGCTGGAGCTCAGTTACGCGTTTACTAACTTCCCTTCCTGCTCCAATTGAGAAATTAGACACTTAAAAGATTTGTTTTACTTTTCAGTGAAAAACATCCAGTTTACAGGTATTTTCCCAAAGGCGAAATTTATTTACTGTTGATAAAAGTGTGTAGCTTGTATGCTGTATTCATCAAGAAATATGTGATCGTATTTTGATGCAGACTGATGAGGCATAATTCATGCGTACAATATGAAGATAAATTTATAGTTTAAAAAAATGATAAGAGGTTCGGTATTTTTCATAAACTTCCAACTTGTTTTAAGCAAAAAACTTAATCAATAATTTATTTTTCATTGTTAATGGCGATTTTATTTTAAAGGTAGTATTCATCATGGACTGATATCAGTTGAAAACCATTGAATACCTGGAACAGCTGGACAGCTGTCTCGTCATAGAGTGGGACTTCTCAGCAGTAGGTATCCACTACTCCTCGGGAATCGAACTCGGACCTTCAGGCGTCGTGGCGAAAGCATTAACTACCCAGCCAATGGGTCCAGGTGGTTCGGACCTCCTACTTCTATCAATTCGCGATATAACGGGACTATCAACTAAAGTCCTGAGTGTGCATCTACTTCACTTCCAACTTGGTGACCCCACTGGTCACCGTGGAACCTGAATGCCTTGAGTTTGCTACCCGGACAGGTTGTGAGTACGTACTGCTATGGAGTACTACAGTAGGACAAAATAGCTGTCCAGTGCTCCCAGAATTTCAATGGTTCTCCAAATGATATCATTGCGTGATGAATGCTATCTTGGAAATCAATGATTACTTTAATCGTTGGTACCATACATAAAAATTGGATTAAACGCTTTGCTTATAACATCATCACCTCGGCTAGCTATTTACTTTCTGTTCAGTGACATATTTTTTATGAAGAATATGAATTCGATGAACTAGGCTCCATGAGTCATATTTTTTCCCTGAAAACGATAAGATTGTAATATGAAGTGCAATTTGAGCAGTTGTCATCATAAAGTTCCAATGGATTGGATATATTACCAAGTGGAATCTCCGAACTGCTAACTAGGGAGTCGATAATCTACTGCGGTCACCAGAAGACAATCACGAGCACACTGAGTTTTGAAGTAGCTATCATGATGTTTTCAAGAGCACCAAAGGCTCTCTCTCTCTCTCTCCGTGACAATGATCATGACAGCAAGATTCAAATCAAATGGAAAGAAAGTTACAAACATACAAGGCTACGCTAAGCACCTACAAATAGTGCAGATGAAGAGAAGAAGGAGGAATTCTACAGACAACTGCAACCAGTTCTGGAAAAGACCTCGCCCCAGATGGCAACATCAAAATTGTAATCGCTGACATGAATGCCAAACTGGGGGCAGACAACACAAGAAGAGGACTCATTGTGGGTCTAGGAGCACTTGGTGAAATGATGAATGAGAATGGAGGATTGTTTGCAGATTTCTGTGCATTCAACTATTGGTGATTGACTGGAGGCAGTGTGTACAAACACAAGGATATTCACAGAGTGACATAGATTTGATTTCGCCAGACACCAGGACACACTAAAAATCAGATCGACTTCATCTCAATGTGAAGAAAGTGGAGATGCAGCCTACTTGACACAAGATCAAGAAGCACAGCAGATGTGGGTTCACACCACTCACTATCAAGTGCATGGAACCTATCCTCAAAATAAAGTTGAAAGCCTTCAAAGAAGTTGGGTGTAGACCACAGTTGAAGTTGAACACCCAGAAATTGAAGGACGAAACTACAAAGGACATCTACACACCAATCAGTCATCAGGACAAAATGGGAGATATTGAGCAACATCCCTGAAGGATGGTGAGTGGAAGAACATTGGAACTCTTTGAAAGCTATGTGGAAAGAAACCTGCATAACCGTATTAGAGAGGAACAAAGAAGCAGGACAAGACAATGAATGGATGTCGATGGACAGATGGAAGTTGATAGAGGAGAGGAGAGGAGAGGAGAGGAGAGGAGAGGAGAGGAGAGGAGAGGAGAGGAGAGGAGAGGAGAGGAGAGGAGAGGAGAGGAGAGGAGAGGAGAGGAGAGGAGAGGAGAGGAGAGGAGAGGAGAGGAGAGGAGAGGAGAGGAGAGGAGAGGAGAGGAGAGGAAAGGAGAGGAGAGGAGAGGAGAGGAGAGGAGAGGAGAGGAGAGGAGAGGAGAGGAGAGGAGAGGAGAGGAGAGGAGAGGAGAGGAGAGGAGAGGAGAGGAGAGGAGAGGAGAGGAGAGGAGAGGAGAGGAGAGGAGAGGAGAGGAGAGGAGAGGAGAGGAGAGGAGAGGAGAGGAGAGGAGAGGAGAGGAGAGGAGAGGAGAGGAGAGGAGAGGAGAGGAGAGGAGAGGAAGACGGTGAAGCAGAAGATGAACCGTTGCAGTGCAGTGGAGGGATGAACAACGAAACGGGAACTGAACACAACCAATTAAGCACTGGAGTGCATAAATAAGTGAAGAAGAGTGCACGGAAAGACAAAGACGCAAGTGAACCAGGACAGGTTGCAGGTAGGAGAGGCACGAACCTGACAACAATATATCAAATAACCAGGTAACTACCCGGGAGGCAAGAGATCAACACAGCACATATGAAACTAATGAAAGATAGTGAAGGAAACTTAGTAAGGAGCGAGGAGAATCAAAGAAAATGATGGGCTGACCACTTCAAAAACTCTTCAGTCGACCACCACCTACAACTCATCCAGAAATAACACCACCAGCAGCCCAGTCACAGAATTACCAGTGAACAAAAATGCTCTGCCGAAAGCAGAAGTGGAGTCCTCAACGCCATGAAGCTGCTGAAATATGGAAAGCATCAGGACTAGATGGAATTTCTCCAGAAGCCTTGAAAACAGACACAGACACATGAGTTGACATGCTCACACCACTTGCATTGCAGAAGGTTTTGATGGAAGGAAGGAAAGGTAACTGTCTATTGGTTGGAAGAAGAGCTACCCGGTCAAACTCTCAGACAAGGGAGACCCAAGTCTTTGCAAGAACTGGCGTGCAGGGTGACATGGAGGAGATTGTGTCAGGAAGAAATGAGAGCTTACGGGCAGTCGTGGAGTCAGGTTCAGTAGACTTCAGAGACCAGAGTAAAATGGCGACGTGCTACTGAAGCCGAATGTTCCACTAGGAACCCTGAGGGGCAAATAGATAATATAATAATCTCTTTTGCACTCTGTTTACTTCACTTCATGATTTCCATACAAGTTTGATCTCTTTAAGAATTTCGGCTGATGAATTTATGATGAAGTAGTGGAGTATAGACAAAATATTATGACCAAACTACTTATGGTGCCTTTCTTCGGTGACTTCAAAGAAGAAACAGCTTATATCATTAACTTTAGTTTCCTGGAATTCAAGGAACCTACGCACCATTCACTCTCAATGTAAGAATCTTCCTTCCAGGATTCGAATTTTCAAGAAGTATGCTCAGGAAATTGATAACGTGGCTCAGTGGCTTACAGGTTAACGATCCAGTGTTTAAACTGATTGGTTCTAGGTTTGGGTCTGGATGGGAGTATCACTCACTGTTGGCCAGCTTCACACAGCTGACGAGACCTAAAAAAAACCCGAGAAACATGTCCTGGATTTCATTGCTATCCAATACCCATGAATAATATCGAGATGAAGATACTAGCAATATCAAGACATCTACACGCATACCCATTTTTATTAGTAGTGTGGCAACTTGGACTGTTACGCAGTAGTGCCTGGTCCTAGGTTGATGTGGATGGATGGATGGAATAGCAGCCGATTGTTTCGGTTAAATCACTGATGGGAAATTATGCAAATAGTTTGTTTATGATTGACAGGAAGTTGATAAAATAGTCATCGACGTTTTTAGTCATTAACCAATGAGATCGGGGCTTTTGAACTTCATACTGTGATCGATACTGTTGTGAGGTCAGGACAGTTTTATTAGACAATTTGGCCTCTGATTAAAGTTCAGTTAGAATGAATCAGCCAACACATTAGAGCGTCAAACGAGAATGCACCAGGATAAAAGGTAAAGAAATATAGAAGGCAACTTTCAAAATAGGTAGAAATTCTTTATTAGGAGGAAAGGAAAAATGAGAATATACTAGAATTCATTTTGATGACTAGTATGAGGATAAGGCATAGTTACATCTGCGCCAATGAAATCGATTCTCTGCCATTTTACCTAGAGTCTTCAACCACCAATTTTGATTATTGCACAGAGTTCAACCGGGAAATTTACATTCTCTTATACGCTTCAATGACTTCACAATCTGATTCCATATTTCACTTCAATCACTTCTAATCTTTTTCCAGCCTAAGCCTAGTTTAGTCAAAATTGTGTAAAAATACAGACAGTGATTTAGGCGGCATATATTAATGAAAGTTCATAACCGTATCATCTAACTTTACTCTTATCCAAAAATTTCTCATTACGACTATTTCATTCATATCGTATTGATATATAAGTTAACGTATATTGT